AGCCCATCTGGATTTTATTTCTGTAGATGCTATAAATCGGCAGCTGATTTCATTTTCCGTATGGTAAGCCGATTGTCCCGACATCACTTTTGGCATAACCGCCATCTTTCATAGTAGTTGGGAAAGCTGTCCTCCACACTGCAAGTCCTCGTGTGCGGCCGTCCTATTTCCATGTTCTATTTGTGTTCCAATGGTCTAGACCCGTTCAAAAAGAGGTAGGTAAAAAATAGAACTACAGACACAGACCATACGGTTAGACGGAAATTCTTATTGTATTTGTTTTGAATGATTACATTTTCTTTTTGGTTTTTCACATGGGGGGCACGACGTGTGCTACAATGTGCATGCATGTGGAGGTCAGAGGGCAACTCACGGGACTTGCTTCTCTCCTTCCAACATATGGGCAGGCCCTGGGGATGGAATTCAGGTCCTCAGGCTTGGTGGCAACAATGTTTACTGACTGTACTACCTTGCGCTGGCTGTACTTGTATTGCTTTTATTGTACCTATATGGTCTCAAATATATGATCTTTGTAACTCAACTCAGTATCTGGGTCTACAGGTAAGCACCAGCATGCCTGATACGTGCATAATATAAATGTCCAGAAGTCACACTTAAAAGGAGAACAGCTAAAACTGATTTTAATATTCTATATATTGTAACCTATCAAACATATACTTTCTTTTTGGTTTGTTTGTTTGTTTTTCGAGACAGGGTTTCTCTGTGCAGCTTTGGCGCCTTTCCTGGAACTCACTCTGTAGCCCAGGCTAGCCTCGAACTCACAGAGATCCGCCTGGCTCTGCCTCCCAAGTGCTGGGATTAAAGGTGTGCGCCACCACCGCCCGGCCAACATATACTCTCAACATATAATCATTATTTTAAAATTAAAATTAATGTGGCCAGTGAGATAGATGACTCAGTGGGTAAAGGTGTGTGCTGCCAACCCTGATGACCTGAGTTCAATCCCCAGAACCCACATGGAAGGAGAGAACTGACTCCCGAGAGTTGACTTCTGACTTCTGACTTTTTTAAATTATTATTTTTATTTTCTTTTATGTGCATGAGTGTTTTGCCTACATGTATGTCTGTGAACCATGTGCATGCTGGTACATGTGGGGGCCAGAAAAGGGTGTCATATCTCCCTGGAACTGGAGTTACAGACAGTTGTGGGTGGGGGAATTGAACCTGGGTCCTCTGCAAAAGCAGCCAATGCTCTTAACCACTGAGCCACCTCTCCAGCTCCTGTCCCCTAATTTCTACACACACACACACACACACACACACACACACAACACCAATGTTTAAAATAACATTTTTTTAGTGATGGAAAGAATAACACCTGGAAAAGGTTATTTCATCAGCCACAAATGACAAGACCAAACGCCATCTCCCCAGATGGACAAGCTGGCCTGAAGACAGCCACACAGGTCCCACACCAAATCTCTTGGCCCAGTGAGAGCTAAATTGACTACTGGCCCCACTGGGGCCTGATCTGAGGAGCTACCTGCAAAGAAGACTTTTAAGAAGAGGCTAGAATAAAAAACGGGTGCAAATGACCCCTCCTTGGGCCCCAGGGAGAGCTCGGCAACAGTTCGGGTGTTTGATTCATTGAATTCCATTATTGCTGGAACCTAGATAATCCTTTCATGATCCTCTAACAGAAGAAGTGGAGAACGCAGTTTTGAAGGGACAGAGTCATGGGGAACAGCATGTCTTCCTGGTTTCTTTCTCATAGTTGGTCGACAGGGTGGAGTGTAACAGCAGAAGATGCTTTGGATAAAAACCCCTTGAGAAACAGGATGTGCGTTATGTCGAGATCGAGCTGGGGAAGGACATCGCCACACTGGCAAAGCACCAAAACTGTCATTCCCCAGACAGGAGATACGGCCAGAGAGGACAAGGAATAGCAGGGAATAGAGAGGATCTGAGATGAAGACGTGCCTTGAACATACTGGAGCAATGCTAAGGATTCAGGAGGTAAGGGGTTCTATGTGAGTACAGAAAACTAGGCTAAAAATTTTTTTAATTAAGTAAGATGAGTCCATAAAAGTCCTAAGAATCCGAGCACCACAGGAGTCTTGACGATCCCTGCCAGACCTCTAATGATATGATAATTTACAGAAAAGTCAGTAGTGTTAGTCAGAAATGCCAAATACCCCTGAACATGAGCCATCTGAGGCTAGCTACCCTGTCAACAAGATAGCCATACGGCGCCCCAAATTAGCCTGAACATTTCAGGGGACAGTGTGCACAGTTCAATGTGGTTTTGTGGTCTTCAACTGTCCTGCCAACCCAGATAAGTCAGGGTGGCCAGGACCCATCAGGTGACAGGATGCAGCACTGCTCCCAGAATCCAGCACAGGGAGTCTGTGGCCCCAGAGATGCACTTCCGGCCAAGTGTTACCATTGTAGCTATCTCTGCCCTGTGAGGACCCTAACCAGGCGCACTCGCCAAGTGATGAGCAATGCTCTCCAGGAATATATGATTCAAAGTGTGTGTGTGTGGGGGGGGGGGGGGTTACAAAAAGGGAAAACTTCCTAGTCATCTATTTTTAATGCCAATGGAAGCCATCATGGGGGGTGCAGTCTGTGCCTTCTAGTCACCCGTGCCCTTCTGGGCCTGTAATATTTACAGATCTCAGCTATATTTTTTCTTAAAATCCTTTGTTAAAGGCCTGCATTTGGCTCACCGCGAGGCTGTTAAGAGGAAGCAGGAAGGCAGCTGTCTTGCCCAGGTGGGTGAAGGGTTAATCCCAGGCAGCAGCCATGTAGGTAAAAAGGGAAAGAGCCCAAAATAAACAAGATGCTCAAAGCTTGTCAAACACAGTGACACTGGAATGTGCCGTGTTGGGGAGGAAAGGTCAGGGGCAGTTAAGTTTGGAGGGCTACAATCACTACTCAAAATGCCACCCTATCACCCTGCAACCGCCATGTACCCATCTACTTGCCAGGATCTCCAGCAGATGGGCAGGCATTCTGAAGGCCGTTTCTCGGTATCTCCCAAAGATGGCCAACCTCATGACCATTCCTCTGAACTGATTCCTCTCTAAGTCTGTCATCTATAATTGTTTGGTCATGTTCCTCAGCACCCCTTGGAGAGGAAGAAGTTACTGGACACCAGCCGAATGTCACCAGCTAATCGTCAGGGAGTGTCCTAACAGCACAAAATCATTGACGAGCACACAGACAAATCAATAACGAAAAGCCTGCAGCAGCCTGGTATGAGCGCAGCACCGACGGATTGGCACACGGAGGTCCAGGCACATGACCTGGAACCCAGGCCCTATGCAGACACTACTGCTTCTCTCCTAGTAAAGCTGCCTGTAGGATTACTTCAGGTGAGACAACAAGGCTCTCGGAGTTCACCCAAGGTCTAACCTGGGAACACACATTCACCCAACTTCAAGACCATCCTCTACCTCTGCCTCCCGGATATCACACACACACCTGGTGAATCACACCCAAGTGACCTCTCCAACCTCGAGTGTATGCAGTATACTTCTGTCTCCCTCCTCGCCACTGCCCGCCCCCCATGGTCTCTACTTGGTGTTTGGCTTTTGTCTACTTTTGCAGCCTCATCATTCCCCATCCCCCTCCAGCTTTCCAAAGGGATGGGTTCTCCCTCCTTCCACTCATTCCTGAAACCTACTCCCCTATCAAGACCTATGGGTGGCCCGTATGGCTGCCACCATCCTCCCCGGAGAATGGCCAAGTCCCACAACAGCCAAGTTCTGGATGCAAACGGCCAGATGAACTGGCTAATGGAACGACCCCTAAGTGACATAAGTACTGGGGCTCAGGGCTCTAGACCCTCTTGGCTGCCACACCACCACAGCCTGCACTGGGGGGCTCTCAAAACGCTAATATGCGCTCCTGCGCTTCAGGGCCAGTGGGAAATCTACCACGTTTAATGAAAACAGGAGCCTCTCTCCACAGAACGAAACAATTCCCAGCCACTGAACACTGTCTGTCCAGCCTCATCAGCCCTCATATTCCTCGATAACGATGTGTCACTTGCTACCACTGCCACCCGCCGTTGAGTGTCCACGTCCCCTGCAGCTGGAGGCGAGGCTGGAGGGGCACCGCCTGGCGCGCGCGCATCTGGACAGTCCGTTTTCAACCAAGAAACTGAACAGACTACCTAAGAGTTTTCCAGAAGTGCTCTCTATCTACTGGGCGAGAGGACGTCGCCACGTGTAAAGCAGGCAGGCATACCCTCTCTCCTCCTTCATCCCTCGCGGGGACCACAATCGGACGGCCTAGACTGGGACCTGCACACACAGCCTCCTCCTCAAGTATCCAGGTTGGCCACCGGAAAACCTCCCAGGTCACACGACCGGTGAGCGACGGCCCCGTCCACTGTCCTAAGTTCCAGATCCCCGGACCCGGGCCTGCCGTGGAGCCCCGAGAACAGAGGACGCATTCTCCGCGCCGCCTCGCCTTTCCTCTAGACTAGGTGGGCACCGTAGGCAAAGCGCGCCCCGCTGCGGACAGTAGAGGAACCAGAGGGGCTAGGAGCTCAGTCCGCAAAGGGCCCGGGCCCCGGGGGCCCATCAGCCCTGCCCCGGGCTCCAGCTCAGCGCAGGGAGCCCCTCCCCCTTCCGCTCCCCGCCCGACCTCCGCGCCCCCCAGAGTAGGGAGGCGCTGGAGGACACCCTTCGAGGACACTTACTTAAGAGGCTACATAGTTTCACCTCTGAGCTACGACAGCACCTCCCAGGCTCTGGGCTGGGATCTCAGTGCCCACCACCCGGGTGCGGCAGCTCCAATCTTCAGCCCACCCCTTTACTCCGCCGTTGGGTGGAGCCTCATCCCAGTTTGTCCAATAAGAGGTCAACCTCACTGAGACTGACATGTAAATAGAGCAATCATTAAGTCCAGTTCAGTTGGGGGGTGGGGCTCAGGCGACTCCGCGCTTCCTACTCAGAGTAGCCCCGCCCAGAGTCAGGGAGTGCGCGTGCCCAAAATGCGAGAGGGCGGGACCTGGAGAAGATCTGACACTAGGGGTGGGGTCCAAACTGGGTCCCCGAACTGGGGCTGGACAGCGATGGAGAAGAGCCCCACCTAGGTAACCATTCTGCCCCGCCGATCGCCCTGTGTTGCCGGTGACGCAGATCAGAGGTGCTCAGTCCTCCGAGCCACACTACTCTGTTGCCTACAGGAATCAGTGACCCTCAGCCCCGTCTCTCACTATCATGGGCTCCACATAAGCTTCTTTCTACCGAGACTCAGTTTTCCTCGTCTGCAAAACAGGAAAAAGTTGGATTTGCAAGGCGCTAAGGTTCCAGAACTATAATGGAATGCATGGTAGGGAAAGGAGGGAAAGCCACATTTGACCTCCCCTGGCTGGGCCCCGCCTACCACTGGTCAAGGGGGAGGAAACTCCTGGCCCAGACCCGCCGCAGGAGGCGTGTCCTAGGAAACTGGATCCTGCTGCCCTTGGCCCGAGCTGAGGCGCGCCGCTCAGCCTGGAGACGTGGGATCGACCAAGGATGGGGTTTGCGTCCTGGGCTTCTCAGGGAGCCACCGTGAAGGAAAAAGTCGTGCAGAGACACTGCGAGTGACCTGGAGCGCGTCGGGGAAAATGGAGGAGAGGATGGGAGGCAGCTAACCCGACTCCCTCTGCACGCGGGGACGTCGAAGGCGCACGTCGAGGGTCCCCCAGAGAGCTCCGTTTAGAGCGGTGGAAAGGCAATGAGGAGTGTTCGGGTCGCCCAGCCCAAGACTGGCATCGGGGCTGGAGGCGACCTGCGACGCTGAAGGGTGCGAGTGGGGCACCGCCGCCGAAGGGCAGCGCCATGGCCAGGGAGGAGTGCAAGGCGCTGCTGGACGCGCTCAATAAGACCACGGCGTGCTACCATCACTTGGTGCTGACTGTGGGAGGCTCCGCGGATACGCAGGACCTACGCGAGGAGCTGCAGAAGACCCGCCAGAAGGCGCGCGAGCTGGCCGTAGCCACCGGCGCCCGGTTGACCATCGCATTGCGCGACCGGGGCTTGGCGACCGAGGAGCGCGCGGAGTTCGAGCGGCTCTGGGTGGCCTTTTCGGGCTGCCTGGACCTGCTCGAGGCTGACATGCAGCGCTCACTGGCGCTGGGAGCTGCCTTCCCGCTGCACGCGCCGCGCCGGCCACTCGTGCGTACAGGAGTGGCCGGCGGCTCCTCTGCTGTGGCCGCGCGCGCCCTGAGCGCTCGCAGTTTGCGACACGAGGCCGAAGGCGACTTCGACGTCGCCGATCTGCCCGAGTTGGAACGCGAAGTCCTCCAAGTGGGCGAGATGATCGACGACATGGAAATGAAAGTCAACGTACCCCGCTGGACTGTGCAGGCGCGGCAGGCGGCGGGCGCCGAACTCCTGTCCGGTGCCAGTGCCGGTGCGTCCTCGGCCGGTGGCATTTCGGTAGAGGAGCGCGCGGGACCCTGCGACCCCAGCAAGGCCCTAGCTGCCACTATTTTCAGTGCCGTGCTGCTGGTGGCTGTGGCACTCGCCTTATGTGTGGCAAAGCTGAGCTGACTGATACCCAACGACCACCCACTGCCCCTTCTCCTTCCAGGGTATGGGTGTGGGGGGCTGGCCTGTTAAAGAGAGGTAGTGAACCCGGGTGTGTGCGCGCGCGCGCGCGTATGAACACGATCCTTTCAAGGCACACTTCTGCCTGGGCAAGACATGTTTTGTTTTTTAACTTGCTGGCTCAAGAGGAGTTAACTGCACAGGGCAGTCAGGGCATTACCTCTAATGTCTGCAGGAGCTTTATCTCCTATTAATAGAAATCGGTCCAGAGTGACCCCAGATCCCTTTGAGTTTGATGGGTTAACACGTGTGCGCCAAGTTTGGTAACCTCGCCCTAGTCGGTAGCTCCCACTTTGCATGAGGGCAATTTGGGAAAGGTGTAGAGTTGCATCAAGCATAGTGAGGGCGCCGTTTTGTTCCCTAGTCAAAAAACGAGTTGCAGTAAGATGTGAGTGGGTTTATTACCTTAAACCTTTGGGGCCTAAGCTTTGGGAGAGTTTGCTGATAGAGGTTCATGCAAAGTGCTTTCTCTAGGGACACTACTGCACTTCTTGGCGGACATTGTCCGTTAGTCACCTGGAGCAGCAGCTCCCAGAGGTTTGGTGTTGTGACCCCATTTAGGAAACCCAAGGAGGTTGTTTCAACTCGATGTGGTAGATAGAGTTGGACCCACTGCACACTTGCCTCAAGAAAAGACCCTACCCATCCCTGGATGGGGGGGGATGAACAGTAAATGCCACTTCGGGAGGGGCCACACTGCTATGTAAACAGGCACGTTCTCCTCCCCAGAGGCTTATTTTATCCCAGAATTAGACCACAGTGTTTGACCCTCCTTTGAGGGAGGGCTGGGGGAATCCTCTTTGAAACCCTTAATCCTATCTATCCCTGGACTTTACTTGCCAGCCAATAGGAGCACAAGCTTTCTAGAGAGCTGCCCAACTGTCTGACCCCATGCTGCAGGAAAGGGCAACACTGGCATCACTAGCACATAGAGGCTGGGAGCCCGGCAGCTGAGACTGAGTTCAAAATGTAACAGTTTTGAGTTGGAATTTAAGGAGCTTTAAACACACACACCAACACACACATCTGAAAGAATGACATTAGCATATTAGTACCAAAGCTGGGTTTTGTTTGTTTGTTTATAGTATAAAAGAAACTGGGCCACAAGCTCATATATGCCAAATGAGTCGAGCTTAGAGATCTTTGACATGTACCTGAGGCTACTAAATATGATCTGCATCTATTTTTTAAAATCTATATTTTTGGGACCAGAGAGATGGCTTAATAGAAGTTTATATTGTAGCCGGGCATAGTGGTGCATGCCTTTAATCCCAGCACTCAGAAGACAGAGGCAGGCAGACTGCTGTGAGTTCAAGGTCAGCCTAGTCTACAGAGCGAGTTCCGTGACAGCCAGGACCACATAAAGAGACCCTGTCTCAAAAAACACATTTTAAAAAAAGGCATGTATTTATTCCTCTTGCAGAGCAAGCAAGTTCTGTTCCCAGCACCCACCTCCAGCAGCTCACAACTGCCTGTAACCCCAGCTCCAGGAAAGGTCTGATGCCCTCTTCTGGCCTCCTTAGGCACTTGCCCTCACATATACATAATACACACACACACACACACACACACACACACACACACACACACAACTAAAACTAAATCTTTTAAAAGCAATCTATATTTTTGCATAGAGATTGAATTTTGAGATCATGGCACAAACTACCAGAATCATCTACATAAAAGGCAGAAGCAGCCTCACTTTCCACCTATAAAGAAGGAGACCTGAGACACACTCTTGGCCCCAAGCCCATGTTACCTTTCTGGCCAGGCTCTGTCACATTCCTGGCGATGTGGGACAGAGAAAACAGATGCATTTAACTTTTCAAAGATAATTTGGAATGAGATCAAAGATTTGCTTGGCTGGAACCAGGATTTTTTTTTACCCTCTAACAGTGAGAAAGAGCTAGAGTGATGGCTCAGGGGTTAAGAGCACCACTGGCTGCTCTTCCAGAGAACCTAGGTTTGATCCTCAGCACTGCTGCATGCTGGCGGTGCACAGACATACGTGCAGGCAAAACCCCCTAAACACCGGATGATGATGATGATGATGATGATGATGATGATGATTTTTTTAAGTGAGAAAGAGGACCAGGTGTAGGGAAATAGCAGTTCTTTACAAGGTCAATTTGGAAGGCTAATTGACACAAGTCTGGGCACCTACCCCAGGCCACGTGAACTGTGTGTGAAATATGGAATCTGTTTGCAGATGATTTGACTGTGCTTTTAAAAGACCCACAGGGGTTTTTCATTTGTTTGTTTGTTTGTTTGTGACAGGGTTTCTCCGTGTAGTTTTGGTGCCTATCCTGGATCTCGCTCTGTAGACCAGACTGGCCTCGAACTCACAGAGATCTGCCTGGCTCTGCCTCCTGAGTGCTGGGATTAAAAGCAAGGACCACTGTCACCTGGCCCCATAGGTCTTAAAGCCGATTAAATGTTTTACAATAATTACTAGTAAGAGTTCTTGCTCCCTCCGGGCTAGGTAACTCTGATTAGGTACCACGTCGCTGCTTGTCCAGGATGCCTTTAGAGACAATGTAGAAAGTTTTAAACTCTGCCTGCCACACACAACACAACTGAGAGTCTCTGTCACCTTCTCCAGAGACTCATCTCTCTGGCAAGAGAAGTCTGGAGGCATTTGGTGACATGGCATTAGGAAATCTCTATAAGAAACAGTTGGTGAAGGCACCCTGCCATTTCCAAGACTGTAACTCTCTACTCTCATCAGGGAGTTTTGGTTTATATTTTTTATTTTATTTTTTATTTTTTTTTGGTTTTTCGTGACAGGGTTTCTCTGTGTAGCTTTGCGCCTTTCCTGGAACTCGCTTTGGAGACCAGGCTGGCCTCGAACTCACAGAGATCCGCCTGCCTCTGCCTCCTGAGTGCTGGGATTAAAGGCGTGCGCCACCACCGCCCGGCTGGTTTATATTTTTTAAAAATTGGAGGCCGGAGAGATGGCTCAGCAGGTAGGAGCACTTGCTACTTTTATAAAGGACTGCTGTTCAGGTCACAGCCACCTGTCACTCCTGCTCCTGGGAATCTGGCGTCCTCTTCTGGCCTCCATGGGCACTGCACATACATGGTGGGTGCATGCGTGCACACACACAAATATTAGTAAATTTCTCAAAATTGTTCTGTAGAGTGTATTGAAAACGTAAGCCATATGGCACTGAATAATCCATTAAGCCAGTGGTTCTGAGCCTTCCTAACACTGCAACACTTTAATATAATTCCTTGAGTTGTGGTGACCCCCAACCTTAAAATTATTTTCATTGCTACTTTGTCACTGTAATTTTGCTACTGTTATGAATTGTAATGGAAATATCTGATGTGGAGGATATCTGATTGTGACCCCTGTGGGGTCGCAACCCACAGGTTGAGAATCATTGCTTTAAAAGCGAAGTGGACAAATGTCCTACTGTCACTCTATTTAATTAGCTGAGTCATCAGATGCCCACCTGTTTGTGAGGGCTCTCAGATCACTGCAACTTGTGATAAAATGTTGCAAAAAGAAAGGGCTGAGTTAACGTAAACATTCTTCTAATAGATCTGTGAACCCAAGAAACTCACTGAGTTTGAAAATGTTAAACATGAGGTGAATTCTTTGGTATTCTGATGCTGTCTAGGGGAACTACTACAGGACATAGGCAAAGTCACCAACTGGCTGTTTTCTAACTAATATGTCTACTCTTGTTTCTACGTGTAACTGACAAGCTTTGCTGATTCTTACTTTGCTGTTGAAGTCATTTATTTTCTATAGACATTTGGTATGCTCTTATACTTGATACAATTGATAGGAAAAAATTCAAAATGCATCAGCTAAGCTGAGTTTCGTGTAGGTCTGCTATTTAAGAATGAAGCAGGAAGATCACCAGTTCAAGATTAGCTTGGGCTGCGGTGTGAGTTCAAGGCTAACCTGGGCAACTTAGACTCAAAATAAAAAGTGAAGAAGACCGGGGTTGTGGCCTAACGGCAGAGCCCTTGCTTAGCATGTTGGAGCCTTCAGATTCAATCCTGTGGCCCTCAAAAATGTATTAACTGATATTAAAAGACAAAAGCTTGGAATGTCAAGGGACTATCAGCCTATCAAGGGAATGGGTTCTGAACCAGCAGTAAGCTACTAATGATTACAATAATCATATTGAAGGAAGTAAATACCTAGATAACTTTTTTTTCTAAGACAGGATCTCATTATGTAGTCCTAGTGGTCCTGGAACTCATATGAAGACCAGGCTGCCCTTGAACTCAGAGAGATCCTCCTGCTTCTGCCTCCTGAGTGCAGGGATTAAAGGCATGTGCCGCTATACCTTGCTTTAAATGTGTAGCCCAGATTGGCCTCGAAGTAGTGATCCTCCTGCCTTAGCCTCTTCAGAATATGCTACCAGTGTGGGCCACCACAACCAGTTGGATGATTTTATGTAATATAAAAGGTTATGTTTTTAAATGCCATGAGGGAAAATATTCAGGGTGGAGTTAAAGCCTGAGCTTTGTGATTTCCCTATAGTTTGCAGGATGCTGTGTAAAGGATGTGTGATGCTGAGTAACTGGAAAGCAGTTTTGACTGAAGAGATGTCTAATTTGCATGAGGTCCCTGGTAATGCTGCCCCCCCCCCCCCCCCCCCCCGCCCCATTGTGCACATTGGTCCATTGTTAAGCTGCTCCCTTCCTCCTTAGAGTGTTCTGTGATGGATGCTTTGTAAAGTTGTGAGCTCCTGTGTATGAGGAGCTGATGACCAAAATGTTGCAGAAGGAGTTCACCTCTGCATCCCTCGGGGTGTGCCTCTCCCTCCAGGGCCCACCATCTGCCCTGGCCAGGAAACTCTGCCTCTCACCAAGTACCTCAAGCCGTTTGCTATCCCTGTGCCTCGAATCTTCTACTGGCACGGGGGTGGGGTGGGGGGGGGATGGGGGTGGTGGTGCTTGACCAGTTAATTCAGTGAGCCCTTGTGCAGCAGATCGCATTAAATCGAGAAAGGCTTATTTGGTTAGTTGGTTTTGGTTTTTTATGGTTTTTTTTTTTCCTGATGACTTTAGGTATATCCTTGTTGAATGTAATCTTGTAGTGTGGTGGTTATTGTCTAAAAATAGTTTAGGGACTAGAGAGATGGCTCAGAGGTTAAGGGCATATACTCTTCTTCCAGAGGTCACAAGTTCGATTCTCAGCACCCACATCAGGTGGCTCACAACTGCCCATAACTCCAGTTCCAATTGGATCCGACACCTCTGGCCTCTGTGGACACCTGCACTCATATGTACACAGATACACATCCATACACATAATTAAAAATAATAAAATACGCCGGGCGGTAGTGGCATATGCCTTTAATACCAGCACTAGGGAGGCAGAGGCAGGCAGATCTCTGTGAGTTCAAGGCCGGCCTGGTCTTCAAAGTGAGTTCCAGGAAAAGCGCAAAGCTATACAGAGAAACCCTGTCTTGAAAAACCAAAAAAATAAAATAAAATAAAATACTTTAAATGTTTAAAAAGATTAGGAGTCAGGCCAATGAGGTGGCTCAGGGGTAAGGGAGCTCACTGCTAAACCCGACAAAGCCAGTGCCATCCTGGAACCCGCATGGAAGGAGAGAACAGACAACTGAGAGTTGCCCTCTGACCTCTCCACACGTACTGTGACACGTGTGTCTCCCTCTCCACACACACAAAATAAATAAATATATAATATGTGTAAAAAAAAAACAACTGTTTAGTTTTAAAAATCAAAATTAATTAAGCTTAGAGTCATTTCAGTGGACACAGAGTTAGAGTATAGACCTTAAAAAGCAAGCATGGATTTGGGGTGTAGGTCAGCAGTAGTGGACTTGACTAGTACTTCAAGGCTCTGGATTCAGCTCCCAGCACTGCAAAGGAAAGGAAAGTTATCGTGTTGTGCTATCTGTGTTTAGTATTTAAATAGATAAGGAATTTGAATTCAGACTCTTAAGTCTGAGTCTGTTTATTTATTTTTAGGGGCTGGAGAGACAGTTTACAGGTAAAGAGTACTTATTGCTCTTGCAGAGGACCAGGGTTCAGTTCCTAGCACCAACAAGAGGCAGCTCGTGCCTGCCTGTACCTCTAGTTTCAGAGTATCTGTCACTCTCTGCTGGCCTCCAAAGACACTGTCCATCCAACTCACACGGGCACACACCCACACACACACACACACACTCACACACACACACACACACACACACACAAATAACAAGATCTTATTTTCAGTCTGTTTTGTGAAGCAATCAGACCACCTCAAGAGATTCTGGGAAACTGTAAAGACAAGCCCCTGTCATGTGTCATATAGTTTGGGAACTATGTTAGCTCCCTAACCTTAGGGAACCGTGTAGCAGGGGCTGTTTCTATGTGTAATGGTGGATCTATCATGGAATCAAGGGTTTCACATCTACATGTCGTATCAACGGTTCTAACCACAATGTTGTGAATAAGTAAAAAAGTAAAGATAATGTGCCGCATTAATAACCTAGCAGGAAAAGGCACCTTCACATGACTCCACTATCAACTTACAACCTGAAAGCATATCCTTAATTTTCTTCAGACACATTGGAACGGAAGCATACAGCCCGATCAACAGACTTACTCTCCACAGCCTCGGATGCATAAAGAGATGTTCAGAGAGGCTTCAAGACTGTGGCTGTCTGCCGGGTGTTTTCTTGTGCATCTGTTTGTGCTCAGCCTCTAACATAGAAAACATGGCTGTGAGCAACACAGATCAAAGCCACTCTTCAGATGCACTTTCCTCTGGTTCTTGAGAATGGACAACAGGTGTGATGGTCGGACAATATACATGTCTGGGAAAATATTCCTGTCATTTACTTATTTTCCATCTCATTCCATGGAGGGTTCTGGATGTTTTCCCTTCAGGACTGCAAGATAGAGGACACCCCAGTTCCCTAGTTTTTTAGTGTTTCAGAAGTTGAAGACCTTAAGTTTATAGGACCTGTGTAAATACCAGAAGTGATAGCTCCTGTTGTCAAAAGATTGTAAGGGTCTTTCGAACATTCTGGTGCCAGAAAGTATAGTTGAGTGTTGCCTGCATGGATATATATGTATTAGGTGTGTGGAAGAAGTCTATAAAGAGATACACAGAAATGAAAATATTTGTTAAGGCGGTGAGATTATAAATGATGTTTTTCAATATTTTTATTTAATGTTGTTATATTGTTTTTACAATAAAACTTTAAATGCTATTATCATCTGGAAATGTTACTATGTTATTAAAATGTAAGTTTTAACAATCAGGATGTCTAGCTGGGTATGGTAGTACACACTTTGTTTGTTTTGTTTTTTAAACAAAGCCTCTGTCTTAGTCACTGTTCTATGACTGTGAAGAAACCCCACAGCCATGGCAATTTTTATAAAAGAAAGCATTTAATTGGGGGCTTGCTTACAGCTTGGGAGGGTTAGTCCATCATCATTACGGTGGGGAGCAGACAGGCAGGACACTGGGGCAGTTGCTGAGAGCTTTACATCCTGATCCACAGGCAGCGGGCAGAGAGAGGTACTGGTCCTAGTATGGGCTTTTGAAACCTCAAAGCCCACCCTCAGAGATACACTTCCTCCAAAAAGACCACACGTCCTCCGTCAAGGCCATACCTCCTAATCCTACCAAAACAGTTTATCAACTGGGGATTGAGCATGCAAATATATGAGCCTACATGAGCCATTCTCGTTCAAACCATGGCACTCTCTCTACATAGCCTTGGCTGTCCTGGAACTTACTATGCAAACCAGGCTGGCCTACTTCCGCCTGCCTGTTGAGTACTAAAATTAAAGGCTTGATACAAATTTTCAATCCAAGCACTCCAGAGGCAGGTAATTCTCCGTGGGCTCTACAGCCAGCCTGGTCTACATTGAGAGTTCCAGGTCAGCCAGAGCTATAAAGTGAGACCTTGTCTCTGTAGACAGAGTTTTCCTGTCCTGACTGCCCACTCCATGTCCTGACAGGTGCTTCCAAATTACCACACAGAGACTTAATATTATTTATAATTATTTATAAATGCTCAGCTGATAGCTCAGGCTTGTTACTAGCCAACTCTTACACTTAAATTAACCCATATTTCTATTTTGCTTTGCCACATGGCTCATGGCTTGTTACTTCATTTTCTACATGTCCTGCTTGCTCAGAGGCTGGCTGATGTCTCCAGACTCTGCCCTTCCTCATCCCATCATTCTGTTTGGTTTCTCACCTAGTTTATCCTATTCAGCTATTGGCCAGTCAGCTTGTTTATTAGACCAATCATAGTGACATATATTCACACAGTGTACAGAAGGATTATTCCACAGTGTGTCTCAAACAAACAAACAAACAAAGCAATGACAATCAGGCTCTAAAGTATAATGAGACATAACCAGAATTTTTGACCCCAATAACAAAACACTTCTTTTACTCTCTTTTCCCTCTACTGCTGGAGATTGGAGCAGGACTTTGCACATATGCTAGGCAAGTTCTCTACCACAGAGTTATATCCTAAACAGAAAAACATTTCAGGATCTCAGGGAGGAAGAGCCAGGAGCGGTGGGTACAGGCCTGTGATCATAGCACATGGGGGGTGAAGGCAGGAGGATTAGACATTCAAGGTCATTCTTCACTATAATAGTGCCTTGGAGGCCAGCCTGGGCTACATGAGACACTATCTCAAAAATAAAAATGGAAGAGAAAAGAGGGGAAGGGGAGAATGAGGGCAGGTTTTAAAATGGGCTGGAGAGATGGCTCACTGTAATGCCAAGAGCAAGGACTGCTCCTGCAGAGGATCCGAGGCTTGGTTCTTGGTGGGTACCAAGGTGGGTACCACTGAGGGCAACCCACAACTGCCTGTAACTCCAGTGCCAGTGAATGTGGTGCCTTTTTCTGGCTTCTGCAGGCGCATGCACACGCGCGTGCGCGCACACACACACACACACACACACACACACACACACACACACACCACGCAGAGGAATCTTAAAATAATAAGTAAATAAAATATGCTGCCATCATTGTTATCATTTATCATACTACATATCGGGGACTATGGGGGTCCAGCCCTTCGATAGTCCCCTCCCAGGGTCCGGGAAGAATCTACAACCAGCTGATAATTAATCTTTGATGAGAAGAAATGAATCTATGTACACAAAACTCCTTAGTCCATACACTTTATTCTTCTGAGTCAGTTACAAGTTTATATTCTGCTCTCGTATTTAGCTCATTTCTAGCCTGATTTTTCTCTACACTTGTCTGCGATCCCCTCTAGGTTCCATCTTAATTCCTTCATCTAGTTCTGCCCCTTCTAGGTTCTCATCCATCTTGTTCCTTCCCATATCAGCTCCTCTCCCATCTCCTTCTCTCTCCTCATCTCGTTCTTCCTCAACTTGTTCTTCCCCATCTAGTTCTTCCTCATCTGGCTCTTCCTCATCTTCCAACTCGTTCCTCTGGTACTCTCTTCTAGCCCTACAACCTAGTTCTTTCCCATCTCAGTTTGTTCCTCTCAAGTTCTTACCCATCTAGTTCTTCCACTCTCTTTTCTCTTCTCCGTCTCCCCGTGCCCTGGAAGTCCTGGTATATAAAGCCAGGCTTCCAGGGTCAAACGGAAAGGTGATAA